GCGCGCGCCAGCTCCGGGGGTGCCGAAGCGGGGGCGCGCAATTCAAAACACAATGTAGAGCGGCAGAGCCTCTCTACAATGTTCACTGTAAATTCACCTGCATCGCCACATCGCCGGGCGCTGCCGAGCCGAAGGTTCCAGGTTCCAGAAATCCTAGACCTTCGGGTCGACCTCGGCAGGCCGCTCCGCGCGCCAGGTCCGGACGCGTGAAATTCGAAACACTGTGCAGAGCGGCAGAGCTCTCTACAGTCGGGCGGCCGGGGTTGGCCCAATGAGGCAAATCTTTGATTTAGGCTCCAAAGCGTGGAAAGTCTCCTCCGCTTTTGGCAACGGTGAGCGCGGCCTCAATGGTCGCTAAGGTAGAGCGGGTTTTGTTCGCCAGTTGATGACCAATGACGATGTTGAATACCAGCAATTTCTTCAAAATTCTGGAAAGCTCCATGCTGGAAACTCTCTCTCCAGGTTTCACACTGGACCAAGGGAGTGGAGTACGGAATAGCAGCTAAAAAGTTGAAAATCTGAGGTCAATAAAAGGTTGCTGCGAGGACGAGAACTGAATATGTTATGGTGTTTCCGGTTTTAACCTTCCTGTTTGTCTCTTTTGTTTCAGGTGGGTATTCCCAGCGGTCTTCGACCCGCGCAGCAGCTGTAAGTGTTGAAACAGTTGCGTTCTCATCTCTGCCGTTTGTCTAGCACCACGGTCACCGGTGTGCGCCACGCATACGGTGGGGATATTGATTTTTGGAACGATGTAGGATCTGCAAACAAAACTCGTGATTCCACGCTCGCGAACTGTGATAATTTTAGCCGATACTTAATGACAATTACAAGGCTGATTCTCCTCTCCAGAGTGTCATAGAAACAATTAATGATTCAGTATTGAAGGACTTTGTTTAATATAATGATGCATTTGGAAGGGCATCAAAAGTTTGCACGAAAGTCCTAAACTAATTCCCCCCCATATCAAGGGCGTCAACCGATTCTCACTCTTTCCAAGGCCATTAATCGATTCCTACCCTTTCCAAATTCATAGTGTAACTCGTTAGGGCATAATTTGTATGCCTTTGTTTTAACGTCTTGATTGTAGCCTATCATGTTTTGCAAAAAATTTTCTACATTTTGCGTACCGTGCCCTGAGTGTTGCTTATCAACTTCACGACGTAATAGTGAGAGGCTCATGCTTGACGGAGCCGTTTGTTGAACGTCCATCCTTAAACCTTAAACCAAAGCCCGCTCTAAGTTCTTATTCGGGCCTCTCAGCATGGCGGCTGGCTTTGCTCCGGTCGGTTCTGCTGACCACTCGTGAAGCGGCTCTCCCTTCGTCGTCCACGTCCCGGAGTCCGTGCTGGCTTCGCGCTGGCGGGCTGCAGCTCGTGCTGGACCGGCGTGACCGACGTATTAATGAGTCTGATTGGAACGGCTCCGGGCGCTCTATGAATCCATCCACGTCCGGGCTGCGCGCGCGGCGAGAGCGCTCCGGGGGCCGGGCGTAAGGCTTGAGCCGCGGGCAGGCAGGGAGCGGGCCGAAAGCACGAGTCGCGTGCATCACTGATGAAACAAATGACGCTCAGACGAGACGAAATTGTTTATGCCGTTGGTGACAGCGTGAATTTTGTGTGGAATTCTGTATGATTTTGTCACACATTTTGCCTGCACACTAAATGTTTCTGTACGAACTTTGTACGAGGCATCACAGTTTTTAGTGCGCACGAACTTTTCGTACAAATTTGTACAAAATTTTGTACAAAAATAGCGCAAAATGTGCAGTTTTTCGTACGAAAATTGTACTAAAATTTCGTGTGCACAAAAAACTGTGATGTCTCGTACAAAATTGTACATTACATTCAGTGTGTGCCTACAGGTGTTCCTGACGGTGTATTCTGGGATCGTTTCCTCCTGGCGTATACAGATTGGTTAAGTGGGGGTCCCTTCACCAAGAGTTCACAAGCATTTAGTGCGCACGAGCGGCGGGCAGAGCACAGTGGGCTAGAAGACCGGTGGAGGCGGTAAAAATCTCGAACGCGTTTTGAGCTCCAGAGTCGCTAAACAAGACTCGAACCGAGCGTGTGACCCTACCAATGGATTGCTCTTCAAACGAGGAATCCGTGGGGTCACACGTTCGGTTTGAGTCCTGTTCAGCGACTCTGGAGCCCTAAACGGCGACTTGAGTTTTGTCCGCCTCCACCGGTCCTCTGGCCCACTGTGCAGAGGGCGGTGCGCGACGCGGAACGACGTCGTCAAGGACCTGTTGAGTGTCGAAGATGTTTTGGACTTGCCGGCCGACCACTAATCCTTGTCAGCGCTTTACGCTGCGTATCCGGTCGTCCGTCTGGCGATGGCGTCCGTTGCCTCCGACAAAATGCGGCAAGATAAATTTAACGGTGTGACTTTCTCGTCCGCAGAAAGTTTACACTGCGCGCGAGACATTTGGCTCCACGGTTGCACCTCCGAGTTTCGCTCCGAGTGTGTGCATTACGCAGTGAATCCATTTCCTGGGTTCCCTTGGGGCCTCAGGAATATCGTGTTATTTCAGCGGGAGCTGCGGTGCTGGCAAAACCGTGTTGGGTCCAGTTTCTTTGTAAGGCCTCAAATAGTTTGCAAGGGTTTCTCAGTGCTAGAATGGGGCTCTCCCTACGGGATTTGTTCCCGTGCAGAGGGGCATACCCGTTTCTGTCCCACTTGTCGAAATTGAAGAACTATGCCGCTGACTACCCCCGCTCCCCGATCCGAGCGCCACCCAACGGCATTGTTTTTCTGGAGGAGAAAGAAACGGCCCCGGGCGCTGATTACGCTCATCGCTGTCGTCGCTCTCTGTCTCTCTCGAGCTCATGGGGCGTCCCCGTATAGCTTAGAGAGAGAGAGAGAGAGAGTAAGAGAAAGAGAAAGAGAGAGAGAGATGGAGATAGAGAAGCTGCTTCTGCTCACGCCTCGACCTGGCGCTGTTTTGCAGTGATTCACGCCGCGCACCGAAACTTTGGCCAATCGGCTGTCTGCGTATCGCGCGGCATCTGCTGGCGCCTGCCGTTGGCCCGCCGGCCCACAGTGGGCCGCAGCAGAAGATCGGCGCGGGCGGCAAAAACTCGAGACGCGTTTTGAGCTCCAGAGTCGCTAAATGGGCCTCGAGCCGAACTTGTGTCCTACCAGCTGCAGCAGAGCAGGGCCGGAGTGAAGGCGCTGATGCAGGATTTTCTTACACAAAGTGCGCAAAGTGGTGCTGGCAGCATCCCTGCCAGGTGGCCTGTTCATCTCAGGGGCACACCCCTCCCCTGCTTCCCCCTCTCTCCGATCCGTGCCTGGCGGGGTCACTGTGGGATAAAAATCACAGTAAATCCTGTAGTGATTAGTACAGCTGTCACTGTAGTTCAGAGTACGGGATTTACTGTACTTTTTTTTACAGGATCTACTGTTCTTTGTACGGGATTTACTGTTACCACAGGAGTGGAGTACGGAATATCCTGTACCAGGTACAGTAAATGCTGTAACCAGGCACAGTAAATACTGTGTCCTGAACTACAGTAAATCCCGGCAAAAAAAATAACGGGATTTACTGTGGTTTTTTCGCACAGTGGTGCGCGGGCTGGGTCCGGCAGATGAACTGCCATAGGTGTAATTGGCAAAGCAGATGGTGTCTCTGGGGGCCAGTGGAGCGCCGGCAGAGTAAATTGGCAACGCGACGACGCCACAGCTGCAGTTTGAATCAAACCACTACGTACATTGACCCGTCCGTCATAGTGTGCGGGAGGCAGGCTGGAATTCAAGATTCCGACTTTGCCGGTGCGTATTCAAAGTCCAGCCATGGAAATCTGCAACCGTGTGGCGGCTGACGCCGGCGCCCGCATTGCGACCATGCATGCTGCGGACTCGGGCGGTGTGTGTGTGTGTGTGTCTGTCTGTGCTGTGACTGTACGTACAGTCCTCCCATGTGTGGGTGAGTGTGCGCTCGGAGATTGAATGACAAATTTGGAGCCCCGCCTGCAGTGCGCCTCCCCTTGTGTACACGTGTGTGTGTGTGTGTGTGTGTGTGTGTGTGTGTGACCCCGTTTCGCGGTGACGGGGTCAGCCGACCTGGATGTGCTGCGGACCGCCCGCCGCCGCTCCGCCGCCTCCATCCATCCCGCGTCCCCGGCCACTTCCTCTTCTTCCTCTCTGCGATACACTTCTTTCTGCTTCCCGCTGCGCGCGCGCGCGTGTGTGTGTGTGTGTGTGTGTGTGTGTGTGTGTGTGTGTGTCAGAGAGAGAAAGAGAGCAGTATTGATTCGTGGCGGTCGCGACTTCGTGCGTAGCCCACTGTAAATGCGCGCTTTCCGCAAATGGCGTTCTCGTGTCGCTCCCCTTTGCCTCTTCTCTCTCTCTCTCTCTCTCTCTCTCTCTCTCTCTCTCTCTCTCTCTCTCTCTCTCCTTGCCGATCTGGTTCGCGTCCGTCGCGGTCGTCCTCCTAAACGTCCTTCCTGAGAGGAAAGAGGGCGTGGGGATGTTGTAGGGGAGCGCGGTGGCCGGCGGCGATGCAAGCTGTGTGTGTGTGTGTGTGTGTGTGTGGGCGGAGGACCGACGGCTGAGGGGTCCGTTGGCCACACTCACACTCTTGCACTCAGACACACACACTCACGCAAGCACACACACACACACACACACACACACACATGCTGCTGCCCGGTGCAGCCCGCGTTGCAGGCGATCACTGGGCGGCTGGCCGTTGCGGGGAAAGGGGGAGTGGAGGCAGAGACGGAGAGAGAGAGAAAGAGAGAGAAAGTTAATTGTCGTGTGGCCGGCCGGCGCAGTGGAGTGCTCGCTGCCGCCGCTGTTTCCGCGCCCCCCTCCCCTTCCCCCTTCCCCCCTTTTCTTCCCCCCACCGCCGCCGCGGGGGCCTCCCCCTCCACGCCGCCCCCGCCCCCCTCGCCCCAGCCGGTCCGCTCAGCTGGTCGCCGTAAACACATGATCTGGCTCCGCCGCCGCAGCGCAGCTTGAGAGCAGCTTGTGAGTCAGTTCAGTTGTGTCTCGGCGCTCGCAGTGCACGGAGCATCGTTGCGCCGCCCGTCGCGTCCGTGTGTGTGTGCGCGTCCGTGTGCGTGTGTGTGCGCGTTCGTGTGTCAGTGTGTGTGTACAGTGCAGTGAGTGGCGTGCCCGCTCCGTGGGACTCATGTTTTAATTGAGCGCCGTTTGAAGTGAAGTGGCGGAAGAAGCATTGAGGAATACAGTGTGTCGTCTGGTTGGTGGTTCATTGGATGCGACAAGCAGTCGAATCATACAGTGGTGGTGGTGATGATGGTGGTGAAACCAACGAGCGTGCCGGCCGTCTGTGGTGATTTTCACCCACAGTAGAGTGGTGGTGATTGAGCTGCCGGTGATGGTGCTGTGGTGAATTCAGTGATTTCACCTACCCTAGAGTGGTGGTGAATGAGTAGCCGGTGATGCTGATGTGGTGAATTCAGTGATTCCACGGTGGTGATTGAGAAGCCGTGCTGATGCTCTAGTGAATTCAGTTATTTCGCCTACTTTGGTGTGGTGGTGATTGAGCAACCGGTGGTGATGCTGTGGTGAATTTCGTGATTTTGATTCGTGCGTTGGGAGTCTACGTTACGCTGCAAGGGTGTCAGAGAGCCACACGTAAAGTGACGGTTCGAAAAAGTTTGTCCTGGTTTTCACTGTCGAAAAAAATTGTCTACTCGCAACTGATGACTTTAAAAATCCCAAGAAGGGAGTTGTTTCTACTACCTCCGGGATTAATTAATGACCTCAGACCATGCGTCATATCTAAACGACTTCCACAGTGACGTCCAATTGGGTGGATGGTCACTGGCAGGAAACCAGGAACCGTATATTTCCTTTATCTTAAAGGTGGTCCCCATAAAAACTGATACGTACGTACAGTGACCCAACAAGTAAACTCTTCCTGCTGGCGCAGCTGATGACGTAATTGTGTCTGTATTTGTGTGTGTGTGTGTGTGTGTGTGTAAACGGATTAGGAGCTTATTTGGGGCATCCGGGCCCTTTGGCGGCGACCGCGTCCGACCCATTGATAAGGCCGTGGCGGCGCGGGACCGCTCCTGGTTAGCGCGTCGCCGCTAGGGGCCGGCCGCTTTCGTCGCTCTGTCCCTCTCGCACCCTTGCGGGGCGCCCCGTGAGTGCGTCCCGAGAGACAGAGCGCAGCGTCCGAGGGGGTATGCGCTCTCTGAACCTGTGTACCGACTATTACGCTATTACGCTCTATTACGCCACAAATTAATCGGAATTTAGCTAAAAACGGCCTAAAACACACCAAAATTGATAAAATTTTGACAATTTCGGCTATTACGCGACTATTACGCGTATTATTACGCGTGCTATTACAGATAGAGTGAACCGACTATTACGCGAGTGCATACCCCCTCGGCAGCGTCTGCCGGCCGGCTGGCCCGAGGGCTGGCCCGGTGCCGCGGGGTCGCGGGAAAGGAAGCCGTCGTTGTGACGACACTGAAAATTGGCAGAGGAGGACGTCTGTCTCGGCTCCGCGTTGTAGGGAAATAAAATCAAATACTCGACGAAATTCTGTCGCTTCAGAGGCTCAAGGCCCCAGGGGGAAGCTCTGAACGCATGTCACTTTGGGTCATGTGCGGCATGAAAACGATTCATGCCCCTCTCTCTCTCTCTCTCTCTCTCTCTCTCTCTCTCTCTCTCTCTCTCTCTCTCTCTCTCTCTCTCTGGAAATCGCCTGTCTTTACTGTAGGCTCTCAGGGATCAGCCGAAACCGTTTTGGCCGTGTGGACGTCGAAAAGAAACTTGAGGAACCCGAGTTTGATCGAAGGCAGATACCCGACGCGCTCGGAAATGCGGCTCGGCAGCTAAAAACGCTTGCCTCGCGATGTTGCTCGATGGCTGCCGAGATGGCCGTTGCTTCGCCTCATTCAGCTGCCAGGCATCTCGATTTGCCCAGCTCTGTCTCTCTCGCACTCATGGGGCGTCCCGCAAAGGTGCGAGAGAGACAGAGCGACGAGAACGACTCTCTGACTGCAGCGCGCTGACGTTGCCAAAACCCACGCCTCGCGGCTGCAGCGCCGCGGCCAGCATTTGAGACAGTTTTTGGCCGCTTCGCGGAACCGGCATCTCGTCCTGGCCGGCCAAGGAGCGGGCTTCGAGACTCTCGAAACGGGCTTTCAGTCTCTCGAGACGGGCCTGCCCTGCACACTGTCAAAATACTTGTTGTCACTGGACGACAATTTAGTGTCATCAAACTTGCTGATGACTACGTAACCTCACAGCAATAAGTATTAAGGTGCTTTGATAAAAATTTAATCCAGGGAAATGCCACGTCGTTTCAAGTGGTTAAGGGCGTAGGAGCGGGTGGCTACTCTGAGAATGGTAGCATCCGAGAGCGTTTTCGGGTGCATCCGCAGTCGTCTGAGGCCGGGGTCCCGATGCCCCGTAGACCTGGTTCGCAGACAATGCACCCTCGGCCGGCTGTTTATGGCCGGCCTGCCGGAGTGCGGGTGAATGACACCCCGGCACGGGGCTCGGCCTGGGCCGCACGGAGCAGATCGCCAGCTTTTCGTGAGCTCGGGGTCGGTCTTCAACTCCTAAGTCCAAGTTTCAGGTCAAAATCAAAAGTTTCGACCAAATTTTAACAAAATATTTTTTGCGAAGTACTGATTATTTCTATATAGCTAAAAAAAATTGTTATCATTGCTCTGTTAAAAGTGGCCGCAGAAACTTAATTTTTAGATGGAAAGTTCGAGATTTTCATCCCGAGTACGATGGTGAACATCCCATCAGCGTCAAACGACGCGTTAGAAAAATTTAAGCTTTCAGGTAGCGAAGGGACCGCCTCCCTTTTGTATGGAGAGGCCTGCTTCACAATGGGCTGCGCCGAGGCGACGATGATGACAGGCTGATTTATAACCCCAAGACCCAAAATAGAAATTTTCAAACGAGCCTTTTTCCGATTTTGGAAAATGCGGCAATAGATTCGTTGTAAAAAGCTGGGTCGAATGGTGTTTGAATTCCTGTTCTACGATAATTTCTACCGAAATCGCGACGAAAATCGGCCAAAACTGGTCGGGGCCCGGTGCCGCCTGCATTGCAGACGGCTCCTTGACGGCTCGCCTATTGTCCGCCCGGCGCGTCACCCCGGACCCCGACTACCTGCCTCGAGCTCCGGTGTGCGACGGAAACAACACATCGGCCGAAGCAGCCTGTCTCTCTCTACTGGTGCAGGACCTGCAAATCTGGGTAGTTTTCTAACGCACGGATCTCGAAAACCACAAGTCGTGGCGTCATCGGAAAAACTTTGCCGTAAAGAGGAAGATTGGGCCTAGGGCACTTGGGGTTTCGTTTTCTCTCCGTATTATTAGGTCCCTCTCAGTGGCTTTCCAAAAATCACTTACTTTCAAGGCGTTCCAGGAGTGCTCCTGGAACTTGGGACGCAAATCAAAACACCACTTGCCCTTCATATGGTCACTGCCAACATGTGTGCAAAATTTCAGGTCGCTGCGACTTTTCATTCTCTCAATCGGTGCTTCCAAAAATGTTAAAATTTCGAACTTTGAGGCGTCGCGACGCCTAAACTAAGCGTCGCAGGGCAAAACGGTTCGACATGATGGTTCAACACATCAATCACTATCGATTAGCGAAAAAAAATTTTTGCGCTCCTACGGCCTTAAATTTAAATGTCATCCGGCATCCTTCTTATTTTCATAAGTGACGACACTCATTTTTAACAGTGTCGGGTCTCGCCGCCTCGTGTCGAAGGAAGCACCGCTCGTGGAAAGCGGCTCGACGTCCTTGCCAAATGAGCTGTTCAGATCTGTAGATTTCCGAACACGTCGATAAAGTGGCCTGTACTCGTACACTACGAAAATTTTGGTTGTCACTGGATGACAATGTCAAGGCTGATTTTCCCTACGAGAGATAATGTCATCAAAACATATGATGACAAAGTTGACACCCCTGTGAGATAAGTAGGAGCTTGGAAATTTAATCAATTTAAGATGAATCTTTCTCTATTTCAAGCAAGGGGAAATCAATGCGAATTTCGGTGTAAAAATCCAATGAATTTCAGTCAAATTTCGAAGAACTTCAATCAAATTTTGATGAATTTTAGTCGAATTTCGATGCTATAGTGAATTTTACAAGTTTGATTTATTTCTGTGTACAAATTTGACCGGAGTTATCTCCCCTTAATTTCAATGTTATCGACTTTTTTTTCACAAAGCGACTGCAAATTTTGACGGTGTAGGTTTTGGATTCGAGTGTACTTTAAGTGCAATCGAAGCGAGTGAGGCCGTTGCTCGGCCCCACCTGATGCAGTGCGTGTCCGCCGCCTCCTCCGAGACGTGGCTGGAGCCGGGCAGCATCAGGGCTTTGTTGTTGTCGGTCGGCTTGCCCATGGCTTGCCCGCCTCTGGTCGGCCCGCCCAGGGGCGGAGAAGAGGGAGGGGGGGGGGACTTCAATTGGCCGCCGGATGGGGCTCAGACCAGACCGGCCGACGGTCGTTTTCGTCGCTCCGTCTCCCTCGCACTCGTGTGGCGTCCCGTCTGGGTGCGAGAGAGACAGAGCGACGAAAACGACTCTCGGAATCGGTGTGCTGCAGACCGTCCGAGAGCGGAGGAAAAGATTATACCGGACGAGAGGCGAGCGAGCGCGTTATTTGTTGTCGTTGTTTTGGACACGTGTACAGTACGGGCTTTTGGCCGGGAGTGTACTTACAGTGCAGTCTGGCCGCAGACTTTTCTCTGAAGGGTGATCCGCGTGGTGGCGGCGACAAGGGGCGGATCCAGAGACGGGTTCGAGGGGAAAAGGGGTCAGTTTTACCAAATCTCCTACCCGACTTGGTTGAGTGGGCCAGAAGGGGCAAAACTCTAGACGCGTTTTGAGCTCCAGAGTCACGAGACAGGACTCGAACTGAGCTTGTGGCCCCACCAATGGATTCCTCGTTCGGGGAGCAATCCATTGGTGGGGTCACACGCTCGGTTCGAGTCCCATTTAGCGACTCTGGAGCTCGAAACGCGTCCGTGACTTTTGACCGCCTCCACCGGTCTTCTGGCCCACTGTGGGGCAACGCCCCCATCACCTTCCCTTCTGGATCCGCGCCTGGCCGTCTCCCTCACCCGCCATGAGTGCGAGAGAGACAGAGCGTTGCAAGCAGACGCCCTGGCCGGGCCTTACGCATGAGTGCGAGAGAGACAGAGCGACGAGAGGAGGCGCGTTGTGTCGGCGGCACTTGGACCCGCCTTC